CTTCTTGTCTAAGCTTTCATGAGGTTTTTTGTCTAAAGCCTTCACGAGGCTTTTTGTCTAAAGCCTTCATGAGGTTTCTTGTCTAAAGCCTTCACGAGGCTTTTTGTCTAAAGCCTTCATGAGGTTTCTTGTCTAAAGCCTTCACGAGGCTTTTTGTCTAAAGCCTTCATGAGGCTTTTTGTCTAAAGCCTTCATGAGGTTTCTTGTCTAAAGCCTTCACGAGGCTTTTTGTCTAAAGCCTTCATGAGGTTTCTTGTCTAAAGCCTTCACGAGGCTTTTTGTCTAAAGCCTTCATGAGGTTTATTGTCTAAAGCCTTCATGAGGTTTCTTGTCTAAAGCCTTCATGAGGTTTTTTGTCTAAGCCTTCATGAGGTTTCTTGTCTAAGCCTTCATGAGGTTTTTTTGTCTAAGCCTTCATGAGGTTTCTTGTCTAAAGCCTTCACGAGGTTTTTTTGTCTAAGCCTTCATGAGGTTTCTTGTCTAAAGCCTTCATGAGGTTTTTTGTCTAAGCCTTCATGAGGTTTTTTGTCTAAACCTTCATGAGGTTTATTGTCTAAAGCCTTCATGAGGTTTCTTGTCTAAAGCCTTCATGAGGTTTCTTGTCTAAAGCCTTCATGAGGTTTTTTGTCTAAGCCTTCATGAGGTTTATTGTCTAAAGCCTTCATGAGGTTTCTTGTCTAAAGCCTTCATGAGGTTTCTTGTCTAAAGAAGCCTTCATGAGATTTCTTGTCTAAAGCCTTCACAGGGCTTCTTGTCTAAAGCCTTCACAAGGCTTCTTGTCTAAAGCCTTCACAAAGCTTCTTGTCTAAAGCCTTCACAAGGCTTCTTGTCTAAGCCTTCACAAGGCTTCTTGTCTAAAGCCTTCACAAAGCTTCTTGTCTAAAGCCTTCACGAGGCTTCTTGTCTAAAGCCTTCATGAGGCTTCTTGTCTAAAGCCTTCATGAGGCTTCTTGCCTTAAGCCGTCATGAAGTTTCTTGTCTAAAGCCTTCACGAGGCTTCTTGTCTAAAGCCTTCACAGGGCTTTTTGTCTAAAGCCTTCACGAGGCTTCTTGTCTAAAGCCTTCATGAGGCTTTTTGTCTAAAGCCTTCATGAGGCTTCTTGCCTTAAGCCTTCATGAAGTTTCTTGTCTAAAGCCTTCACAAGGCTTCTTGTCTAAAGCCTTCACAGGGCTTTTTGTCTAAAGCCTTCACGAGGCTTCTTGTCTAAAGCCTTCACGAGGCTTCTTGTCTAAAGCCTTCACGAGGCTTCTTGTCTAAAGCCTTCACGAGGCTTCTTGTCTAAACCTTCACGAGGCTTCTTGTCTAAAGCCTTCACGAGGCTTCTTGTCTAAGCCTTCACGGAGCTTTTTGTCTAAAGCCTTCACGAGGTTTCTTGTCTAAAGCCTTCACAAGGCTTCTTGTCTAAGCCTTCACGAGGCTTCTTGTCTAAAGCCTTCACGAGGCTTCTTGTCTAAGCCTTCACGGAGCTTTTTGTCTAGAGCCTTCACGAGGTTTCTTGTCTAAAGCCTCCACAAGGCTTCTTGTCTAAAGCCTCCACAAGGCTTCTTGTCTAAAGCCTCCACAAGGCTTCTTGTCTAAAGCCTTCACGAGGCTTCTTGCCTCAGCATGAAGATTTATGATGCTTCGTTAGTGCAGTCATCGTGGACTGTTGAGGTTAGAATGGTTTTTTTTTGCCCCTAAGAAAAAATAAAACAAGAACTTCCATAACCTTAGCAAGGATTTAAACCCAGGTCACCTGCATGAAAGCTCAGCATTCTATCCACTCGACCAGCTACTTCTTTGGAACCACTGCTCGAAAACCACATGTATAGTTTCAAGAAAACAAACCTCTCACTGTGGGAACTGAAGCCTGGAATGTCGAAGATTGTGAAATTGTGAGCCATCTATTGACATGCTAAAAGTAGCATTAGGCACACAAACTTCATACACCAGCTAGAAAATGTATGGTTCCCCCCCTCCCACCATCTGCAATGTTTATAATGGTATAATGTATAGGCATCTGTCTAACAAGACTGAGAGGTATCACACAGTAAAGCAAGCTATGTATTTAGTCAATCTGGTAGTATGGTTGTCTTAGTTTCATCTTCACAGCAAACGGGTCACCCCAACGTTGCTCCGCGCCTGTGCCAATGAAAAACACACAGAATGTTTAGACACAGTACCTTGTGGAGAGATTGACAGACTGCTGTCTCAGCATATCTAGCATCATCATCAGGTGCCCTGCCGACTGGCGTGGGCGATCATGCCTCTCCATAATCTGCGATCTCCTGCAGCATGTATCAGTTCGTGTGCCGACACACCTCCATGCCATGCAACAAGACTGTCAAGCATCTTCTCTCATTGTCTTCCTCTATCCCTCCTTCCACAGATCTTTCCAGTAGTCACAACATGTTCTATTTTCCCTCTTCTCGTAACATGTCCGAAAAATGATGACTGTCTTCTTCTAATGTCTGTGATAGAATGTCTTCGGGCTCCCGCCTCTTTCAAAACCTCTTGGTTGCTCTTTATGGCTGTCCAAGGTATTTTAAGCATTCTTCTGTAAAACCACATCTCTGAGGCCTCTAGAAATTTATTTTTATTTCTTCAGTGTGGCTCCCTCTAGCATACACACACATTAGAAGCATGCGGTAGCCATCCAAAGTGCTAACACAAACAGTCCGACATTAGAAATGCAGTTCATCATTGATGGTAGCAGAAGTCATCAAAAGATCAGCACTTGCACACACGATCAATTTTAATCACATAAGGGCACCACCAACATTGTGACAACAGGCATCGCACCATTTTCTGCATCTACAATTCACACAACCACATTGGTCACAGTCGAAAAAACATTCCAAATGAAATCCGCAGCTCACAGTGTCATGCCATGATTCAACACAGAAGCTGGGCGACGAAACTACATCCTTTCAGTCTACAAATGGAGCAAAAATGCAACAGCCACCGTCTGGCAGAAGCAAAAATTTGCCTCAGCTCCAAACAGTGCCCGTGCATAGCATCCATTTTGACCGGAAGTCAATGCTGTTGGCTCTTCTCCATCTTTCCAGACTTCTAATTCTTCTTCTTTACTTTCTCCAGTTACTTCATCAAAGCGTTGGGGGAGAATATAAGGATCTTTTACGAACTCTCTCCAACTGTTGTATCAGTTGGTCTTCATTGCCTTAATTCTGTCCTTGATGTCATCATTCCTTATTCTGTGTGGTCTTCCCCCCGCCATTTTATTTCTTCAGCATGGCTCCCTCTAGCAGCTGTTACTGGGACATACTCATCAGATGGCCAGACATTCTCCTCTGCCGCTCTAATAAACTGTACGACTGGTTTCAGTCCTAGTCTTGTGCACATTTTTCTTTTTTAATTTCATCATCTCGTGTAACTCGGGTATCTCTTCTAACACAACTCATCTCTGTTGTTATGATTTTGTGCTCATTAGTTTTAGTAAGGGTCAATGTTTGACACTGGTAGCATAAAGCTGGTGAATAAATAGTTACCACATTTGCCTTGATACTTTTTAAGGTGACAAAAGTACACTGAGTGCGGCATCTTTGACATGGAAAACTACACTGAAGACTGCACAGGACAGGAAAGCATGGAAAGTCCTCTCTGAAACCTCATGTGCCACTTGGCATAACGAGAACTGATGATGTTCACTCTCAAACAAACAAGCAGCACCAATACATTTAGAACAACGCACACCATTTAAAAAAATAACAATAAATTAAGGTCCCGTGTCTACGTCTTCAGAAGAACCCGGGCTAGACCTGTATTTTATTAACCAATCCGCACTTGGTGGTGGGTGGTGTGGTCAACATCAAGCTGGCCACCTATACTTTCCAGGACTTTACCTGGTACCCATTTGAGGCTGGGTCAAGACGGGATGCCAAGGTCTAGCTTCGTCAGGACCTTAATGAAGGTTGGCTGCAGTGTGTCCTGCTGCCACCTTTGGGAATATTAGGTGTCTTTTCAAATCTTCTGTGCAATCTCTATCAGCTGAGGTGAGAAAGAGAATTCTCAACAATTATGTCAATCTTATCATGAGATATGGAAACAATCATGGACAGTCGGCTGATTAGTGAAAAATTATGAAGAAGCTGGTTTTTTAGGCAAATTATGAGAACACCCTGGACAGATAAAAACAGTAAAGAAGATGTCTGGACAGAAACTGACCCATGAAGAAGACAACTTTCTTTGGCCATGTCATGAGAGGACAAAAACTGGAGTGCATTATAATGGTGGGAAAGTTGGAGGGGAATAGAGGCAGAGGAAGGCCGAGAGAGAAGATGCCGGGCAGTTTGATATCGTGGCATAGAATATCATTTTTTATAAGTGATTGAAAGTACACAAGACAGAATGTTGTGGAAAGACATGACTACCAACACCACACGGGATGCAATATAATAATAATAATATTTTAATATTAATTCTCTTCTATCACCCACTCTATGAGAGCTAGGACAATGGTCTCGATATATTATATGAATTATATCTAAGCTAAAAATATGCTTACATGTACTCACAGTTGGAAAAACCATTGAACATGTTAGTAATGAACAATGCAATACAGCTTGGCTGAGCAACACCAGAGAATTAGTAGCAAAACAGAAATAGAAATATTAAATAAAAAGCATGGAATATTTCTTGGCTAATTAACAGCGAAATAACCATTCAAATGACAGTGGAATTTTTGTAGAAGCAGAAATTATGCTAGAATTTTATGGTACACCTAGTCATAAGTGCAATGTACAGCATTCAGGATATAAACATTTTGTTTTTACACGTACATAAATTGGTGAATATTTTGTTACTGCATTTACTGCGAAGCACAGGACACTTCCATGAATCAAACAACAGCTGTTTTATTATAAAGAAAACAGTCAGCATGCAACATGTGTGGTGGACCATGTTTAGTCATGTTTTCACCAACTCATGTGACCTTTTTAGTCAGCTTAGGCCTGGCTGTAACATGGAGCTTGAGCTGAGGGATGTGTTAGCATCTACTGTCTCAGACATCACTGTCAGAAATCAACCCACTCTGCAATAAGACAACAGAAACATTTCAAGCAATGATTTTCCATCATTAATTAAAATAAAGACAACACAAAATACTTCTTCTTCGCCTCCACCAGCTGTAAACTTCGGAGGAATCGAGCACATTCATATCGAGTTGTTACCAGGGGATCTGGCTGATGCTCAACATTCAAGGAAAAGGTGAGACAGATATACAGTCAGTTACTGGTACCATCGGAATTGGAACTTTTCATCTGCTGTTGAAGATGGGGACCGAGTGCTTATGGGAGTGTCCTGGGTGCTGTGATGTCAATTCTGAATTCAACATAGTGGAAAGTTCTGGCTGACTGTCCACTTCTTGGGCTTTAATCTTGTTCCAGTTTTTGCATGCACATCTGTTTTACAGATCTGTCTTTATTTATACAGAGACCACAGGCAATTTGCCTCTTGGGCAGATGCATCCTGACTGAAAGAAACCCCCCCCCCCCCCTTCCTTAGTCAGCTTCCACCACAAGATTGTTAAGGGCAGTGGGTCTATTCTTTTCTGCCCCTCAGTAGGGCCCTGGAACCCACATGGGGAGAACATAAACAATAGACTGCACACTTTATAGCCTGCAATATTTTGCTGTATCATCATCATCATGTGGTATGACCACACACATAGGCTGTCACCATGTGTCATCAAATCTCGTGATCACCATAATCATGGACCGAGTCAGTGTTCTTGTCTGGCTCCAAACCATCTTGGTATTATCCCCTTGCTTTCCCACTGTTCTCTTTATATCTAACTTGCTAGCTGTTACCAAGTTGAGTTTATTCCTTCTCACAAAATGTCCCAAAAACATTGGCAGTGCGACCTAGAGCAGCCAGACATGAACATTTGACTAACATCACTAGGTGCCTGATTAACTGGAAAAGAATAGGCATGACCAGCCATGTGGAACTACTTAGGAGGAAATCAGAACACCTTTAGATCTGTCTGGAGTGGCAGAGAAGAGAGAGAGGAAGAGAGAAAGACAAGAGGCAAAAGGGAGGAAAGGGGAAGAGGGAGAAAGACAGAGAGAGACAGGAAGCGAGAGAAAAACAGTAAAGTGAACATGTGTAAGACAGACTGTGTGATCACAGGGAGTAAAAGGCTGTGTGTGTGCGTGCGTGTGTGAGAGACAGAAAGAAAGAGGGACAGGCACAGAGAGATAGAGAGACATGACTAAGGAGAGAGAGAGAGAGAGAGAGAAAGAGAGAGAGAGAGAGAGAGAGAGAGAGAGAGAGAGAAGAATGAAAGAACTATTAACTGTAACCTACCTCCGGCAAGTCTACAGTAGGCTCCACAATAAACAAATCATCTAAACCTTGTGATGTTTGCTCCGGTCTGCATTCTTCCTCATCATCCATCGGAACTGTTCTATGATCCTCTTTCACACATTCAGTGTCCATACTTTCTACGCCTTCACCCTGACATTCACTCTCCCTCCCCTGCTCCTCAGCTTCCATATTCTCCTGACAAACCAAGTCTGGTCTTGTGTCTCCATCCCCTGAACCCTCCGGCCTGTCACTTGGTTTCATTTCAACCATCTTAACCTGTACTGCAGAATGTGACAGATCCGAATCCGTTACCACCCCTTCAACATTGCCTTCCTGTGAAGAATCCTGGCCATGACACTCAGCCCCCCCTGGCAGAAAGTCAGTACATTTGTCATTGTCTGGTGATAATAATGCAGTGACCAATCCAGTTTCAGAACCAATAACGGTAACAGCTGAACCACCCGTATCTGTCCTCGATTGTGGAAACTGATGGAAAACGATGGTCGATGACGGATCACTACTACAAGCTGTTGGACTCTGACTGGCAGTGTGTATCACATGAGCTGCTGTCCGTGCTGAGGATGATGAGGAAATATCACAAACACTGGTCTTGCTTGTGGGATGCTCAACAGCATAACATGGCAATGAGGAGGACGTGCAGACAAGATGTCCAGAGGTGGCCACATTGGCAGAACACACAGCTGCGACAGTGGGACTTAGCGGCGACAGAACATCAGCCGGAGTGAGCCGCCCGGCTTCACTTATCTTCTGTGCCTCTTGTCCCATTTCCTCGCATGCCTGTTCAATCCTACTCACCAAGTGTTGCAGCAACTCAATCTTCTCATTGGAGACATTTTCCGGTATCGGACTCAGCTCGCTGTATCCAGGACCCTTGCGGATAAGCCTGGGCTCTGGAGCTGCCAGCAGATTGAGACTTCCAGGGGTGTTCCATGTCGTAGGGTGGTTGCGTGTCACCTGTAGTGGGCACAGGCTGTGCTGCGATGCTTTGGGTGTGTTGTGGTCTTCTTGTGTTTCTTCCATGGCCACTTCATCTTCCTCCTCAATGGACTCCTGGTGTTTAGTAGGGTCGCACAGGGTGTTCAGTCTTCGGGCTTCATGACGCTTGGGGGACATTGGGACATCTGTTGGCATTCGCTCTTCGGGGCTGGTACCAGATCTCAGCGAGTGACCTTGACCTGCACAACATATATAGAGTATTATTACATAAGAAAAAAAGTTACAAATGTACAGAAAAAAGCCACACAATTTTTCTTTCTTTTTGTGTTCGTTCTAAAAAGTGTGGCTTGCATACTGTCTTGTGGCTCACAGCTAGGCTGTGATATCGACACCTTTCAGTCTTACACAACCCATTTTAGCAAACTTGTAATTAGTCGCCTTTTATGACATGCTTGTAGGGGCCTATAGGTATATTCCCCCCCCCCCCCCCCCCCAGTGGGGCCCAGGTACTTACACAGTTCTATCAAACAATTACTCAGTACGAACATTCATCGCCGACTGGGCAAACAAGCTAATGAGTTTCTCCAGCTGAAACAGTGGGGTGGGTGGGGGGGGGGGGGGGAAGTGGGGTGGGGGTAACAGCAGACTGGAAGGAAGAACATCTGGTGAAGCTGCTAATGAAAGGTGACCAGCAGACTGGAAAGAAGAACATCTGGTGAAGCTGACAATGAAAGGTGACCAGCAGACTGGAAAGAAGAACATCTGATGAAGCTGACAATGAAAGGTGACTAGCAGACTGGAAAGAAGAACATCTGGTGAAGCTGACAATGAAAGGTGACCAGCAGACTGGAAAGAAGAACATCTGATGAAGCTGACAATGAAAGGTGACTAGCAGACTGGAAAGAAGAACATCTGGTGAAGCTGCCAATGAAATGTGACTAGCAGACTGGAAAGAAGAACATCTGGTGAAGCTGCCAATGAAATGTGACTAGCAGACTGGAAAGAAGAACATCTGGTGAAGCTGCCAATGAAAGGTGACTAGCAGACTGGAAAGAAGAAAATCCGGTGAAGCTGACAATGAAAGGTGACTAGCAGACTGGAAAGAAGAAAATCTGGTGAAGCTGACAATGAAAGGTGACTAGCAGACTGGAAAGAAGAAAATCTGGTGAAGCTGACAATGAAAGGTGACTAGCAGACTGGAAAGAAGAACATCTGGTGAAGCTGCCAATGAAAGGTGACTAGCAGACTGGAAAGAAGAAAATCTGGTGAAGCTGCCAATGAAAGGTGACTAGCAGACTGGAAAGAAGAAAATCTGGTGAAGCTGCCAATGAAAGGTGACTAGCAGACTGGAAAGAAGAAAATCTGGTGAAGCTGCCAATGAAAGGTGACTAGCAGACTGGAAAGAAGAACATCTGGTGAAGCTGCCAATGAAAGGTGACCAGCAGGAGTGTGGTAATTCTTCTTCTTCTTCTGTATTATTCTTGAGGTTCACTGCTGAAGAAATCATTTGCTTCAATGTGGTAAGTATACAGGAATAATATAGAAGGTATGTAGTATGCACTGAAACAGTAGTCAAAAAGTTTGTTGCTTTATGTGCAACAGGACTTGGTGGTATCTCTGATTTGTTGTGGAAGGATGTTCCAAAGCTGAATTGCTAATAACATTAAGTTTCTTTTGTATATGTTTAATCTTCAAGTATGTGTAAGTGTTGCACACACAAAATTTGAATATAAATCTTGCAAAAGCTGTGCAAAGCATCAAGGTAGCATAGTGGCATCTCTCCACAGGGGCATCTCTCCACAGGGGCATCTCTCCAAGGTGTTGGGGTAGAACCTGCATCATCTTCTTTTTATAGTACACGCTGTATGACGGTAGTGGTCAAGTCTATGGACAACCTTCTGTCTACTATTCTTCTTATAGTCCATGCCGTGTGACGTTGGATTCCATGCCTATCCACACACTTCTGTCTACTATTCTTCTTATAGTCCATGCAGTGTGACGTTGGATTCCATGCCTATCCACACACTTCTGTCTACTATTCTTCTTATAGTCCATGCCGTGTGACGTTGGATTCCATGCCTAACCACACACTTCTGTCTACTATTCTTCTTATAGTCCATGCCGTGTGACGTTGGATTCCATGCCTATCCACACACTTCTGTCTACTATTCTTCTTATAGTCCATGCCGTTTGACGTTGGATTCCATGCCTAACCACACACTTCTGTCTACTATTCTTCTTATAGTCCATGCCGTGTGACGTTGGATTCCATGCCTATCCACACACTTCTGTCTACTATTCTTCTTATAGTCCATGCCGTGTGACGTTGGATTCCATGCCTATCCACACACTTCCGTCTCATGAACAATCAATTCTGATAGAGATCTTCCATGCCATGATGTTAAACTGTCCAGCACCTTCTCTCTTTGTCTCCCTCTGCCTCTTTTCCCCTGTCATGATGTACTTCAATTCTATTTTTATGACAAGATCAACGAATGTAGATTGTCTCCAACTGAATGGGCGGCAATCAATTCTCTTCATGAGTTTATTTCCTTCAAAAAACATCTTCATTACTCTTTTAACCTGTCCAGCGTACTCTCATTATTCGTCTGCGTCAAGTCAGATTTTTTCTTTCAAAACTGACATTGACTCCCAGGTCAACACAGCCTAAAATGAGTAACAGGTAATGTCCTTGGGAGTAAAGGCAACCATCATGAATGTTGAATCCATCATCCATTTGATTGATCAAGTGCTGATTGGTCGATAAAAATATGTCATAAATATGGCATAAGAAGTTATTTTTATATATACTGCATATGTTGTACATGTGTTGTTTAAGTTTTGTGTACATAAGCTTTTACATCAAACATAATGTTAAGTTGTGTACATAAGTGTTTACTTCGAACACAAGTGTTGTATAAGTTGTGTAAGTCTTTATGTCTAACATAAGTGTTGCATAAGTTGTGTATAATTTTTACAAGTCAAAAATGCATAATGTTTTACGTCAAACAAAAGTGTTGTATAAATTGTGCTTATAAGTCTTTACATCAAATATAAGTGTTATATTAAGTTGTGTACTTAAGTCTTTGTCACATATAAATCTTGTATACGTTGTGTACATAAGTCTTTACGTAACACATATGTTTTTATGTCACAAATAAAAAGGCTTTACGTAACACATATATTTTTATGTCACAAATAAAAAGGCTTTGTGTCACACATAGGTCTTTATGTCATATAACGGTTTTATTGTCTCACATGTCTTTACATCACACAGAAGTCTTTACATCACTCACAAGTCTTTACATCACATATTAGTCTTTATGTCACACGTCTTTACGTCACACATAGGTCTTTACGTCACTAATTATTTTTACATCTTTATGTCACAAATCAGTTTTGCATAAGCTGTATACAAGAGTCTTTACATCACAGCTAAGTCTTGTATAAGTTGTGTACATAAATCTTGCCTTTCCTGTGCACATAAGACTTCAATAAGCAAGAATGGACAGGTGATCACCTTACACCATAAATTTCATATCTTTGAACAGTTATTTGTATAGAAACAGAAGACTGCACAGAAATAACACTGACCTGAAAAAGGCTGGTTTTGAGATTTACCAGAGCACTTGCTGGCCGGCAGCATTGAGCCTGCATGTTTCTCCACATTGCTCTCGATGGGAAAATGTCCGTATGGCTCCAGGCAGAGCTCCAGCCTATCATCGTGTTGGTTGTAAGCAAACAACTGTTGGAAGCAATGCTATAATATTATGAGATGGTTCAAATACATTCAAAATCATCATCGTGTTGGTTGTAAGCAAACAACTGTTGGAAGCAATGCTATAATATTATGAGATGGTTCAAATACATTCAAAATCATCATCGTGTTGGTTGTAAGCAAACAACTGTTGGAAGCAATGCTATAATATTATGAGATGGTTCACATAGATTCAAAATCATCATCGTGTTGGTTGTAAGCAAACAACTGTTGGAAGCAATGCTATAATATTATGAGATGGTTCACATACATTCAAAATCATCATCGTGTTGGTTGTAAGCAAACAACTGTTGGAAGCAATGCTATAATATTATGAGATGGTTCAAATACATTCAAAATCATCATCGTGTTGGTTGTAAGCAAACAACTGTTGGAAGCAATGCTAAAATATTATGAGATGGTTCACATACATTCAAAATCATCATCGTGTTGGTTGTAAGCAAACAACTGTTGGAAGCAATGCTATAATATTATGAGATGGTTCACATACATTCAAAATCATCATCGTGTTGGTTGTAAGCAAACAACTGTTGGAAGCAATGCTTTAATATTATGAGATGGTTCAAATACATTCAAAATTATCATCGTCATCATCATCATCATCAAGCAGCTTATGGTCTGGTGTGGACAGTCATGTCTCTCCACAACCTGCCATCTCCAACAGCATGTATCAGTTTGCTTACTAAGACCTTGTCTTCCTCGTCTCTCTTTCTATAAATCTTTCCTGCTGTCACATGTTTCAGCTTTATTTAACCAAAAAAGGGGGGAAAAACACAGTTTCTCTCACTAGGGGAAAGTTATATCACATTTCTGATATTAGTTATATATTATTTCAATCTAAATTTATTATAAGTGACAAGAGGGAGACAGCGATACAAATGGGGAGTGGATCCAGTTTCCTCCTTAAGAAAAAAGGGCCCTGGAATCCATACAGGGATGTTTAGAAAGTAAGACCATTTATGAATATGTCATATTATAAGGAATCATCACTATGAATCACCATAAAGACAAGAACAAACACCAACAGAAATGTCTGCCAATGCAATCGAAAATCTTGATTGTTTTTAAGGGAATTATTTGCTAATGACAATATAAAATGTTGGGTTATCTAGAGAAATGGCTGCTAATGACAATATAAAATACTGGGTTGTGCAGAGCAATGAGTGCTGATGACAATAAAAGACATTGGGGTGTACAGAGAAAAGGTTGCTAATGGCAAAATAAAATGTTGGGGTGTGTAAAGAAACAACTTCTAAAGACAATCAAAAAAAGGTTATGAAGAGAAAAAAACTGTAAATGACAATAATAAATTAAATGTTCATCTATGAAGATAAATGTCTGATAATGGCAATCAGATGGAAGAAACAATAAATTAGAACACAGTAGATCAGCAATAACGTGGACTTAGCATTGCCAAGTTGTCCTCACTTACCTTGTGAGAAAGCATAGGTAGCTGGCAATGCTTGCCATGTATGAGACCCATGTCTCGCTCAACCTGTTTGTAGAAGAGGCCATTCACAGAAAACAGGTGTGGTCGCTGCTGTACGTATGTCCAAAGGTCCTTGTTGTCCAAAGCTGCAGTCAGCGCTAGAGCTGACAAGGAGTGGTCCAAATTATCTCCACCTGGTGAGCCAGAAAGCGATTAATGTTTGTTGAGCAAGAATGTAAACAATGTATGTCACAAACTGGTTTATGCTGGTGTAGCAAGAATAAATAAAAACCTACGATACAAAGGGGTTTATGTTTGTGTAGCAAGAATAATAGAAAAATATATGTCATGTTTTGGTTTATGTTAGATATGCAGACTATCAGTGTTCCTTTTAGTCTGCAGTTTTCAAGAACTTCCCACAGTAAATCTTGCTTTAGTCTTGCTCTCTTCTGCACCAAGCATGGTAGTCATTCCCAAGTTCTTCAGTTCATTCCTTCTCATTACATGTCCAAAAATCACAGACTGCCCCCGCCTCATTTATCTCATACGTTTATGGTTTTCCCAGGACAGGACTACCTTGTTTGTTTTTCTATCATTTCACAGTAGCAAAGACACTTTGCAAAGAATAGCTTGTTAGTAGCAATCATGTTAGCAACAATGCCATGTGTACAGATGGATTGGCACCTGAGACAACAGATCATGTCCTCCAAGACTGTCCCAAATAAAACACATCAAGGCAAAACTTTTGGCCAAGAGAAACATCGGTGCAAGTCGAACTTTACGGGTCGCTGAGTGAATTACAACAGACAGTGAAGTTCCTCCTAGAAACAACATTGCAGAGATAGAGAATCTATTTCAAGCAAACAAAAGAAGAAGAAGAAACAATAATTTTTTTTAGAGACGTTCCTGTGTGGGCCTGGGCGGGGAGAGAACCACAGATCCACTGTTCCCCTAATAAGCACATTGTAAAAGCGACTAATTAGGGGGTTTTCCTTCAAGGTCAGAATGCATCTGCCTGAGATGGTGAGGAATCTACAGGTGGCGTACAAAGAAGCCAGATCAATAAAACAGATTTGCGTGCAAAACTCAAGGTCAGAAATAAAACTTAAATCCACATGTGGACAAACAGCCAGAACATTCTGCTAGAGTTTACAGCTGGTAAGCACTAAGAGGAGGAAGAAGATTTATAGATGCAAGACTCACCAGTTGCCCACATGGGATCCATCAAGCCTTGCAAAACTCTGTCTGACGCCTCATCCATACCTCCTTCAGCAATCATTTTCCTAGACGACTCTTCCCTTCTGGCAGGCAAGCAATGGATTTTGTTTTTGTCAACTGCTGTAACAGGCATACAAATGAAGAAACTATCAGTCGTGTCAGCAGTTATATGTCAGCAAATCTATAAACTTTACATGGATATCCCCAAATGGAAGACATGTAAACCAGATCGACCATTTCATGGTAAACAGAAAATGGCGTGGGTCCCTACTCGATGTGCATGTTAAAAGGGGAGCAGACGTAGGAAGCGATCATCACCTTGTAGTTGCTCTACTACGACTTAAACTCAAAAAAGTTCACACGCAAGTTAAGACACAGACAGCACACTACAATGTTAACCTTTTAAGAGAAAAAGACATTGCCACCCAATTTATAGTAGAACTCAAGAATAGATTTCAAACCCTATCAAGTGACCCAGACACTCAAACTACAATCAGCATTCAAGACAGATGGAACCAGATCAAAGAAACATACAAATCAACTAGCAACAACATATTAGGAACCAGGAAACAACACCACAAAGAAAGGATAAGCGGTCAAACCATGGACTATATTGCCAAGGGAAAAAGAATAAAGAGCCTAATAAATCACACTCAATCAGAACGTCAGAGAGACAAACTACTGTTAGAATATAGCGAACTAAATAAAATGACAAAGAAAAGTGCCAGAGCTGACAAGAGAAGATTTATAGAAAATCTTGCAGAAACAACAGAAAATACTGCTAAAGCACATGATCTTCAAACCCTACACAAAATTACCCAGCAAATTTGCGGAAACAGAAACAATTATCACAGCATACCCATCAGAGATAACCAAGGCAGACTGCTCACCACAGAACAAAAACAAGACATGCAGTGGACTAAACACTTCTCCGACCTCTTGAACAGACCTGATCCTGACAATGCCCCAGATATTCAACCAGCCTCTCAGGACATTGACATTATTACTGAACCACCAAGCAAACAAGAAATCCTTAAAGCTATCCACACTTTAAAGAACAACAAAGCACCAGGCAAAGACGAACTGCCAGCAGAACTTCTCAAAGTAGATCCCAACACAACTGCAAGTATTCTAGAACTATTGTTCAAGGATATTTGGGAAAAAGAAGTGTTGCCTGACGACTGGACTGAAGGAACAATAGTCAAAATCCCCCAAAAAAGGAGACTTAACAGACTGCAATAATTGGAGGGGAATTACTCTACTTTCAGTAGAAAGCAAAATATTTTGTAAAATCATCATAATGCGGCTTGAAAAGGAAGGGAGTAGATAAATGCGTACGAGTAGACACAAGCAGGATTCAGAAAGGGCAGAGAAACAACTGAGCACATCTTCGCCATACGTAACATGTTAGAACAATGCAATGAATGGCAAAGAAGTATATATATTAATTTTGTGGACTTTGAGAAAGCCTTTGACAGCGTCCATAGAGACCGGTCTGTGGAAAATCTTACGACATTATGGAATTCCAGAAAAAATAGTCAACATAACTGCTCTCTTCTATAAAGACTTTTCCTGCAGTATAAAAAATTACAATACATCTTTCCCAGTAAAGACAGGTGTAAGATAGGGATGTGTTATGTCATCTCTCCACTTCAACCTTGTGATTGATTGGATACTAAAGAACACAGAAGACAGGACATTAAGAGGCATACGATGGACTCCATTCACCTTGCTTGAGGACCTTGATTTTGCAGATGATATAGCACTCCTAACACATAAACATGAACATATACAAGAAAAAAGTAACACACTACACAGCACAGCAGAAATGGTGGGGCTGAGAATCAATACAAAGAAAAGTAAGATCATGACGAACAGTCCAAACCAACAACCAGTGACCATAAATAACCAAACTCTTGAAAATGTAGAACATTTCACATATCTTGGCAGTGGGGTGTCCCTGCGGGGAGGGACTGAAGAGGACACACAATCCCGTCTGAACAAAGCTAGAGCTGCTTTTGGAAGGATGAGGCAAATCTGGAAATCCAACAATTACTGCAGAGGAACGAAACTCCGACTCTACAAGAGCATCATTTTGCCAGTTCTTCTTTATGGAATGGAATGCTGGAGAATGACCAAAAAGGATGCACACAAGCTGTCCACCTTCCATCACACGTCTAAAATTATCAAAACTGTCTGGCCAGATACAATCTCAAACACTAAACTACTTCAAGTCACAAACCAAGAAACTTTAGATGGTATGATAACCAAGAGAAGATGGAAATGGCTTGGCCACGTTATGAGAATGAATCCTGATATACCTGCCAAAACAGCTCTCACATGGACACCAGAGGGAAAGAGAAAACAGGGGTGCCCAAAAACAACATGGAGACGAACGATGGAAAGTGACCTGAGTGCGGCATCTTTGACATGGAAAACTGCACTGAAGATTGCACAGGACAGGAAAGCATGGAAAGTCCTCTCTGAAGCCTCATGTGCCACTAGGCACAACGAGAACTGATAATGATGATGAAATCTAGAAACATACATATTGGCTGTAATATGTAAGCAAATACAGATATTGACGCATACATGACAGGTGAAGTATGTAAGCAAATATAGATACTAACACACAGTGTCAACTGGTATATGTTAGCGAATCTAGAAGAAGGCTATCAGTCATTTCAGCTGTAATATGTAAGCAAATCTAGAGAAAAAAACTATCAGTAATTTGAGCTGTAATGTTTAGGCAAATCTAGAAAGAAACAATCAGTCATTTCAGCTGTAATATGTAAGCAAATCTAGAAAAACATACATGGGGTTGTAATGTGTAAGCAAGTATAGAAACTTTTCATCATGTCTCTGTAATAGGTAAGCATATGTAGAAACTTATCAGTCATGTCAGCTGTAATGTGTAAGCAAATGCAGAAATTTATCAGTCAAGTCATCCAGATGTATTAGGCAAAAATAGGACATTTTGGTAACGTCACCTGTAACAGGTATATTTTTAGAGGTGCCGATCAAGATCTAGAAACACTCATGGGCTGTAGTATGTAAGCAAATACAGATATTAACACATATATGGCAGAAATACAGTGAAATGTTGAACGCTGACCACAAAAGTGCTACGAAAAACTCTTATAAGCAAATTAAAGCTATGAGAGGTAGGAACAACCAATATGACCCAACATAAATTTTTTATGACAAGACGGGAGTCGCCTTAAATGAACCAGAAAAGGTCCTAGAAAGATGACGTCAACATTTCAACGATCTACTTAACTTGCATTCAAAGGAACAATCCACAACACAAGAAAACAACAGCTACATAAACAAATATTTAGAGCAAAGCAAAACACTCACAGAAATCAGACAAGCTGTAAAAGAGGCACATTCTGACAAAGCACCAAGCAACAGAAGAGGTGGGCATAAAATGGACGCACAGACTGTTCAACCTAGTTTGGACAACACAAGAGACACCGGAGGACTGGAAAAACGCAATAGTAGTATCCATCTGGAAAAAGAAAGGCAGCAAGAGAGACTGTGAGAAGTATAGAAGAGTTTTGTTATTGAGCCACAAAAGGAAAATTTTTGGTAAGATCCTAGATACAAGGCTACGACCTATCATCGAACCACAACTTAGTGAAGGACAAATGGGATTTCTGAAGAACAGAAGTTGTACTGATGCAATATTCACACTTAGACAATTAGTGGAAAGGATGGTAGAATTCGATAATAACACGTTGCATTCGTAGATCAAGAGAAAGCTTTTGATCGAGTTAACAGAAATAAATTATGGAAAGTACTCCAGGATTATGGAGTAAACAAACATCTTATTAAATTGTGCAAGAGTTTGTAATTGAAAAGTCCATGCGCAGTGAGAACAAATACAGGAATGTCTGAAAGGTTCTACATTAGATCTGGAGTGAAACAGGGGTGCGTTCTATCACCACTACTGTTCACCACATACGTCGACCAAATTTGCAAATTAGCTAACATCAGCGAGGGGTACAACATCGCTAGGCTGTTATATCTGCAACACATCTGATTTCAGCAAACATAATTAGTTCATCATTATGCCCATGTAGGCTGTATGTGTATATTACAGAACATGTCCAGCAATCCCGGAATCCACATAGTGAGCATTAATGATGTGAAAAGGGTCTTTTTGAAAAAAAAAAAAAAAATCAAGACACTACTTCTTGTTCACGTTCACTGGCTGTAAACTACGGCAAAAAGTTCACACAGTTCATCCACTTATGGACTTAAGTCTTCTTCCTGCACATCCATTTTACAGACGTGGCTTTTTTGTATGCAGACTGTTGGTCCCTCACCTCTCAGGCAGATGCATTCTGACTTTGAAGGAAACAGTCCTAATTAGTCAACTTTTACACATGATAGAGGGACAGTGGGTCTATTATTATTTTCCTCCCAAAATGGGTACCGGAACCCATACAGGGTGAAAAATCAAGACAGAAAGTGGAATAAATGAATTCAAAACAGGTATTTAAAAAAAATTTTTTTTTTAAAGAGCACCCCCCCCCCCCAAAGCACTGAGCAGACAAGGGAGTCACTGTGGCATTGGCAGCAAGACGCCCGTTTGTGGATCAGAAGGTTGTGGGTTCACGTCCTGATGGAGCCAGACTTTTGTTTAAAAATGACCTTGACTGCCACATCGATCTTCCTTAAGTGGGTACCAGGTGTTATCCTGGAAAGTAAAGGCGGCAGGCATGATGCTGACCACGTCACCCAACAAGTGCCGATTGGTCTATAAAACTATACGTCTAGCCCTATACGCCAAATGCGCCTAAGGGCGTGGAAAAGGGACTTTTACTTTTTACTGAGCAGACAAATTCCTCACATGAGTGGCTATGAACAGTAGCTTGTGTCGTCAAACTGCTAGGCTCCAGCTTAGAAACTAGCATGATCTTGTCCCCTGGCTGAACTGGAACCTTGTAGTCCTCGGCAGAAGAAGCTGGAGGCTTCAGCTCCCTCGGAGGAAAGCCGTGCCGAATACACTGCTGTGCTGGAGGTACTCCGGTGGCTTGATGGATAAGGTTCTGCAGTTCCAGGAATGTGCATTCAGAGGGAAGATCTAGTGTGACCTAAACAGATCATTCACATACAAGAACATATCAGTTTTAAGAAACAATAGCTTTAAGAATAGTTTGTTAAACAAAAAATGTGATCAATCAGCAGGTTTTATATATAATGCTTTTCTCTTCATGGCAGGCATGACAGTTTCTCTTTCTTTAGCCAATTCTTGAACCCAATGTGCTTTCATAGCCAATGCTTCCTCAATATCTTGTATCCACATTCATGGGGGTCTGCCTCTGCCTCGTTTTCTAGAAAACTGTATCATTCATCGTTGTTCTCTCCAGGATTAGATTCTCTATAAGGGATGGAAATTTATTTTTTCGGGGACCAAAATAAAAATCCTAACCTATTACAGCCCCCGAACCCGCACAGGAAACAGAGCATGTAAAGATGAGGTGCCTGGGCTGAGGGTGTGTTCACCGAATTCTCATACAGGAGACTGGGGTTCGATCCTCTGTAAGGGATGGAAATTTATTCTGCCAGGGACAAAAATAAAACTCCTAACCTATTAGAGCCCCGGAATCCACATAGGGAACACTGCATAAAAACGAGGAGCATGGGCTGAGTGGTTAGTGCACTGGATTCTCATATGGGAGACTGGGGTTCTATCCTCTGTAAGGAATACAAATTTATTTTGTCAGGGAAAAAATTAAAATCTTAACCTGCACAGTCTGCAGCGACTGCATGGCCTTAAATCCTAAATTTCATGACCCACTTCTTTCCCACTGTAACTTCTATATAATTTGCTCAGATAGTTTTGGTGGCCTGTTAGAAAATGTCAGTGGTCTGGCATCAATTCACGGAGAACAGTTTGAAGAACACTGCTGTTTAGGAGTGTTTCAAAACTTTTCACACCTGTGGCCCACCAAAACAGGAGCAACTGTTTCACAGCCTACCTGACAGCTAACCAAATACACACACAAAAAATATAGATAGCAGTTTATTTGTCAAATACAATTCACAAAATTACAGTTTTCAGCTGATGTGACATCTGCCCCTGCTTAATGGTGAACAAATTTGATATATTTGGCTGCAGCGCTGTTTCTGATATATGAAGCACTGCAATAACATCCAACCAATGTCTCCATTTTTTTTTTTATTGCTATGCCTGAGAAAGTCTTTTCACACAAATAGGAAGTCCTGGAGGTGTATCTCCTATAGATGGAAAGAGGAAAACCACTAACCCGCCTTGTTACACAATTAAGCATAATTTTTCTGGTGGCCCACAGAGGGCTTTTCTGCAGCCCACCAGTGGGCCATGGCTCATGGGTTAAAGAATACTATTGTAAAGGCTATGCAACTAACTTTAAATATACAATTAGCTCTGTACTAAGTACTTACATTCCTTCCATCAGAAGTAGACAGCCTGATGCGTTTACTGGTGTCAACAACTTCTCTAGCCCCACCAGATTCCCCAGCCACTGAGCTGACCGCCCCTGCTGTTGTTGCTGCTGACTGTGCTGTAGTTGACACAGGGGGCACTCTTGATGATGACAATGAAGAAGGAGAGGAAAACCGCCTGTCAGGAGTTCTCTGATGATAAAAGTGTAGGCAATAAGGTAGACAAATCACTTCTTTCCAGCCTATAAGTGCTTTAACACAATTTCTGGAGAAATTCTAGTTTAATGTAAGCCAATGTTTGAGACAAGCAGGCTACAAGTCAAGAGGCCGACCAAGAAAGAGAAGGTTGGAAGGAATACAAGAGACACTTCAGAAACGCAACAAGACATTACCACAAGTTACACAACTAGCAAAACGACAGGAAACAACTAACAACAGAGAGAGATGGTTGGAGGAAACAAAAGAGATAATACAGAAATGCAGTATGACATTAACACAAGTTATGCAACTATCAAAAGACACGAAACTATGAACAAGAAAGAGATTGCTGCAGAGAATACAAGAGCACTACAAAAATGGACAGATTAAAAATAGTAATGAAGACGTCTTGAAAGAAACTGGCCCAAGAAGAGAACTGATTGCCCACATCAGAAAGAGACAACCTTCATTCTCTGGTCATGTGATGAGAAGGAGAAAACTGGGGTACATGTGATAGCAGGAAAGTTGGAGGGAAGAGAGGCAGATGGGAGACTGAGAGAACATGCTGGACAGTCTGACATCATGGCATGGAGGATCATCTGTGTCAGAGTTGACTGAAAGTACACTAGACAGAAGGTTGTGGATAGACATGGCTACCAACGCCACAAGGCACAGATTTTAGGAAGAAGAAGAAGAAAGGCTTGAGGTCTATTCCCCTCTTCTGTTCTACCCTGTTTAATCAGTTCAACATCATGAATGGAATTCAGTGCTGCAGCTTTGGTCTCTCTTATCAATGTTCGCCTTCAGGTTTCTTGTGGGTGTCCTCACCACCTTAATCCCTTTATTTCCCATTGTAATGTCTGTTTGGTGATTCTCTGCTGGTTTCTTGTCAGCATGTGTTCAATGTGGCACCATCTTCTCTGTCTTATAACTGTTGATAACAGTTGTTGCCCAGGCATTTCTCTGACTTCTTCACTCCTTTTGAATTCATCCCATTTTATTTTCCATTATTTTCTCAGACAAATATTTGTGCATGCGTGCCTGCAGATGGGTGAGCGTGTGTAAATGTGAGTGTCTATTTACACAAGTAAAGATTATTATTCTTTTATGACAGATAATAGTTTTCAGGTGTCAGGCCTTCTCACTAAATCTCACTCTCTCGCACTAACACACATTTTCATCTTCTTCTTCTTTGCTTTCAGTTTTGTATGCTTAGGTCAGACCATCAGGTGGGCTGCCTTTGAGAATTAGCATGTTAGTTGCAGGTCCTTTGTGGTTCTCCATAGCTTATTCTGCACACTTTGCTCTTGAGGCCAGGTGTGTCTGCATAGTTATAAGTATACTGGAAAGGTCTGCAGAAGGTGCTCAGGTGTTTTTGGTCCTATCTTCTTGCAGGGAAATTAAAGTACTACTTCAGTATGACAAACAGGACTTACTCTACTGCTTCCTTCAGGAGATGGTGACGAGTGCTTTCTCTCTGACTGATCGGACAGTTTTCGTTGCTGTTTTGGTGCATTGGCTTCGATTCGTTGTTTGATCTTTCGCTCCGTGGCACTTTTGTTCAGTTCTTCTTTGTGTATGCTGTGTCGCTAGAAAGAACAAAAGTTTACTCATTTTAAATAAACACTGCATCTACTGAATGTGGGGGACGTCTTTATGATAGCATATTAGTTGGGATCCATCAAAGATGCAAACAGCAGAGAAAAGAGAAGCACCCAAAAAAATATCATAATCTGCTTAAATCATTACTGGCTTCATGCACAGCATTTAGGAAGTTCAGATATATATGTACTAAAAATGCATTTGGTGAGGTCCTTGTCAACAAAATGACTATTAAAAGGTAATTCTGGAGCCATAATCTGCCTCAGTATATTTTGAAAAATGATTTTTTTTTTTTAATAAACCTAATTTTAATAAAATATTGTCCTGAGTCAATGAATTGTTATTATTTTTTATTTTATTAAAGAATTGTCCCCATGTGGGTTCCAGGGCCCAACTGTTGGGAAAACAAGAAGAGACCCACTGACTCCCCAATAAGCATGTGGTAGGAGTCGACTAATTGGGGGCTTCCTTCAAAGTCAGTGTGTACCTGCTTAAGTGGCAAGGAACAACCAACAGCACAGAAATAAGTCAGTTAAACGGGTGTAAACTCAAAACCCAGGCCCTGCCACAAGGTCAAAGTCCAGATGGATGAACAACCAGGGCTTTCACCCAGAGCTTACAGACGGTGAACGCAGAAGAAGAAGATTAAAGAAACTGAGTGGACAATTCCTATGGGTTCTTGCCTTTCTGAAGTGTTTCCGGAATAAAAGGGTTAAAAGAACTATAAACCACAACAACTGGTGAATGATGTCCACTAAAGCTGTGTGAAAATTTACCTGTGAACCTGTTATGATGGCCTTGGATGCCCTGTGTGGAGAAAAGCCTCCCGAATCATCATCGTCATCTAAAGAATTACTGGCACCACTTGATTTCAATCTAGAAGCTTTTGCCTGTGACTTTTCTGTCTCTGGCTTGTTTGTCTGTCTGAGGATCTGGTCTACAACTTTCTGCACCAGTCTCTCACTGCCAAACTCACCTGCAAGACATATTAAGGTAAATGTAGATTAGGCTACTGATGTGGGGATGTGAACTGTTGTTCAATAAATAAATACTAAAAATCAAAAACCCTTTCTGTATTTTGTGTGTTTATTATAAAATCAAGTGTTAACTCCTCCCAAACTGCAACCAATACAAGGGTTAAATTTTCATTTGCCTTTATGACTACAATGTTTAATTTAACAGTCACATTGGTGGCCAAGGTTATTGTTCATTTCTTTATTTATTGCTATGATCAGTAAAAGAAAAGTTTCGCTCAAGTCACATCCCTCTGAATATTTTCCCCTATTACTTCCCTTGAAAATGAAATTTAAAAAAATTATATTTCACTGTTATCTTTTTTGCAACCACATACCTATGTGTGTCTGAGATAATACATTTGTCTGTCTCCTAAACTGTTAAATACTGGTATTAATGTTACAGGGGATGCTGTGGGTGCACTTAGGGGAAATGACAAAAGATAAGGCAGCGGTGGAGACAAAGATGAAATAGAAGACAGGTTATTAAATACTAGGCTTCAGTTAGACGCCTATTCCCACTAAGCCTATAGTAGGGTAGCGGTGAAGATCAAGATGAGGTAGAGGACAGGAAAACACGACACTCTTTCACTATCCTGGGTGATGCCAGGCAAATAAAACTAGTAATTTAAAAAAAAAAAAAAAAACATTGTGCCATCTCCACAATGGAGGCTGGCTATAACCACTGGCTAACTATAGGAATAATTTGGGTTAGTTTGTAATCATGTAATCAGGTAATCGCAGTTCTAACTTCACAGTTAACATGTCACCTCATAGTTGCTCCATTTCTGTGCCAATGAAAACCACAAAGAAATGTCCATGACTGTCCCTTGTGAACAAAAAACTGACGCAAAGCCAGTAGACTGCACATGCATTAAACGCATAAGGCAGCTGTCAGAAGTGCCAATACAAACAGCCGGGCACTACTTCTTCTTCTTCTGCACGTTCACCTGCTGTAAACTCTGGCGGAAAGTTCTGGTTGTTCATCCACTTCTGGACTGCAGTCCTGTTCTAGAACCTGAGTGTTGCATGTGCATCTGTTTCACAGATCTGACTCATTTGTATGCAGACTGCTGGTTCCTTGCCTCTCAGACAGATGCACTCACACTTCAAAGGAAGCTCACAATTAGCAAACTCTTAAGAAATGCTTCTGGGTAGGCAATGGGTCTATTTTTGTTTTCCCTACAATAGTTCCCCGGAACCCACACAGGGAAGCCTGGCACTAGAAATGTAGTTCATCATCGATGGAAGCAGCAGTTACAACAGATCAGAGTGGTTCCACACGCAATTAATTGCATTCAGATTGGAATTTTTTCCAAGGTGCAATTCTTATTTGACTATCTGAAGCCATGAGAACTGTCTTTTTCTAAACGGCCCAATGCGGAAATCGAGCACTCGTCAATATCGAGGCTGAAGTGTTAGCCATCGCAGATCCTAGGGCATGACATGCCAGGTGAGGTCGCCAGCTACCTTCCTTTCAAAACAATTCCCCACAATTTTTCACATTTAGTACTCATTTTTAGGAGGCTAGGTCAATTATGGTTTATGAACACAGCTTTTTATTTCTTAATAACCACTTCAATCAGCTGCAAGGCAATTTGGCAGCGGACCGCTAGGCAATGATTTGGGCAATGGTATAGAGCGCCGTCCTTTCAGATAGCAATGGCAAACTACTGAGCATCAAACTGCCCAGTAAAATTACAAACAGCCAACAAATGGTTTGCAATGTCCTGTACAGGATTTGCAACTGATAACAAAAGCCACACTGACTGGACATAATAAGTCGGTCCTTTGCTGAGGATTTATACTGTGGACCACTATCACAGTCAGGGAGCCACCATGGTGTAGCGGCTAGACAATCGCCTGCAAATTCTGATGGAGCCGGACTTGTCTTTAAAAAAAAAATGATCTTGTTTCCCATGTCGGCCCAGTCTTAAATGGGTACCAGATAAAGTCCTGGGAAGTAAAGGCAGCCAGCATGATGTTGACCACATCAACCACCGAATGCCGAATGTTCAATAAAATAAATTTCTATATCAAAATCCACCTGAAGGCGTGAAAAAGGGCTCTTTACTTTACCTACCATCATAGTCAGCAAACACACTAACCCCTAGGCCACCGTGACAAGATATACTAAGTTAATGATTAGCAAGGACTATTATCACAGCATTTGGGAGCGATCCAGAAGTGCTTCGATCTCCTCCTCAATATCTACACAAGCATAAAATGTTTGATCATGCCCATTCTGCGCTGACTGATCAGATGTTCTGTGCCCTTAGTGAAATATGTCTGGCTGCTCCAGGATGGACTTCCATGCACACTACCTGGACATTGATGCTGACTCCTGCATGTTTTCATAGCTGTCTTCATGATATGCACCATTACATTGTATTAATGACATCATTCCTGCCCACTGCCAGGCCAGTCACAGTGGCAAGATAATCTGCGGCTCGCTGCTTTAAACACATGTATGACTCAGCACAAAGATGAAGGTTAAGGGATTTATTTAGGAAGCAAATCTTATTAGAACTATTTTTGGGGCCAACACTACGCTATCAGTGCCAAATGTGGACATTTACATCCTCTAATGAACGTAGAATTGTGAAAACAGAGATGAAATGCCTTAAAAGAGCTACAGGAGTTTCAGGGAAAGACAGAATATGAAATCATGAAATCAGATGAATGCTAGGAATAAAGCCAGTCTTACAGGTCATCAAACAACAAATGAAGTGGTTTGGAAACGAAGAATGCCCTGGTACTATCTACTACAGCATGCCACACTGAAACGTTACAACGGGTATAGAGCAAGTGGAAGACCTCGGAAAAGATGGAGTGATGGCATTAAGAACAGCCTTAAAGAAATGAACATCAGTCTCAATAGTGCTCTTGACAGAGCTCATCAACGAATGTTACATCTCCCCCGACACTTCACTGAGGTACAAGGAGAAAGAGAAGAAGAAGAAGATTTAGGATGCATTTAACGGCAGAATCCAATATAGTCTGATAAAACTGGCCTGGATTTTCTTGAGCTAGTAATATCAGACAAATATCACTAGCTGAAGTGAATAATGCACCTGGGATATCTCTCTAGGTGCTCTGTCTTTTAAATATCTTGACTGTTACATTTGTAGCGATTTTCACCCACCTGGAAAATTCTCTTGTACAAGGTTCATAGCAATGCTGTACACATTACTGTTGAGACTGGGATCTTCTTCATCTTGAAACCACAGGACCTTCGTCTCCACACGTCGGTCTCTCCACTCCATTACAACTGGTAATCTGTTAACAGTAAAACAAACTTACTCTCCACTCCATTACAACTGGTAATCTGTTAACAGTAAAACAAACCGACTCTCCACTCCATTACAACTGGTATTCTGTTAAATTGACAGTAAAACAAACTGACTCTCCACTCATTACAACTGGTATTCTGTTAAATTTACAGTAAAACAAACTGACTCTCCACTCATTACAACTGGTATTCTGTTAAATTTACAGTAAAACAAACTGACTCTCCACTCCTTACAAGTGGTATTCTGTTAAATTTACAGTAAAACAAACTGATTCTCCACTCCTTACAAGTGGTATTCTGTTAAATTAACAGTAAAACAAACTGACTCTCCACTCATTACAAGTGGTATTCTGTTAAAAAACAGTAAAACAAACATACTCTCCACTCCTTACAAGTGGTATTCTCTTAAATTGACAGTAAAACAAACTGACTCTCCACTCATTACAACTGGTATTCTGTTAAATTTACAGTAAAACAAACTGACTCTCCACTCATTACAAGTGGTATTCTGTTAAAAAACAGTAAAACAAACCGACTCTCCACTCATTACAACTGGATAAATCAAATTATAATTATTCCATTAATTTCCCTTACTGTTTTGGACATGTATCATATTCTCTGCCAATCCAAAAATGTACTGATGATATAGCTAGCATGAACAAGTCACAGTTCTTTACTGAGTAAGCTAAATTACATACCTCTATCAACTTCACTTACTGTATTGGATGTGTGTCATATTCTATGCCATTCCAGAAATGTTTGAAACCTGATGGTGATTTTGATGACTTTGTTGATGTCCTATCTCCATTGATGTACTCGATGGTGTAGTCGAGCCTAACAAGTCGCAGCTGTTTACTGGAAAGAATAAAAAATAGTCTGTTGCCAGGAAAAACGTAAATAAATTACTGACATAAATAATAATAACAATAGTAAATCAGCCGTGAAGAGGGGAAGAGGCAGACCAAGAAAGACTTGGATACAGAATTTGGCTTTAATGGACAGGGCTGAAACATTCAAACAAGTCTATTGCTTCTGACTGACAGAGGCAGAGGGAGCTAATTAGAAAGATAACAGCAACAGGTGACCCAATGCCACAAGGTGTTGTGGGAATATGATGATGATGATGGAATTATTGAGTGAGAGGAGGAAAAGAGAGAAAGAGAGAGCAAGAGAGAGAGAGAGACAGACAGACAGACAGACAGACAGACAGACAGACAGAGAGCTGTGCTTAGCCTCGTGGGGCTAGTATATCCACCCCATGAGGCTGATTTTAAAAATGATCTTGGCTCCCAATTCAAACTAGATAACAATGGGTACCTAGATATGCCCTGGCAACTAAATAAAATATGCTAAGTGAGATATCACTCCCCCCCCCCCCCGCCCCCCTTTTCAATGTGACTGATTGACAACAAAAATCTAGGGCTAACACCAGATGTCCAAAGATATGAAACTGGGTCAATAAAAAGAGAGATGCTCTCATGTGAACCCAGCCTTAATTAGGTACCAGGAAATGTCCTGGTAAGTATTACTGGCTGAGTGATCATGGTCTTATCATCCAGAGTGCCCGATTAAACTAAAAAAACACAGAGCTAACATTACATGTGCAACTGAACCAACTTTTATTTTCTTATTTTAAAACATGTTTTTAATGTTTTTTTCTGCTCTTTCTGTCTTTCCAGATGATAGCGTTATTTTGTGCTTTGGAGAGGGATAGCAATCAAGGCTGTGGTGATGGTGATGTGATTAGCAAGACTACCTCACGGTAACACAAGGGAGATAAATGATCGTAGACCACGAGGCAGACCAAGAAGATGATGGAGAGATAATGTCCAGACAGACTTGTAAACATTTGTGTCACAACTGGAAAGAGAAGACCCACCAGAGAGATGAATGGAGGCGGGTGATATCTGCAGCAAAGAACCTTCACCTGGAATGCTAAAGAAGAAGAAGAAGAAGAAGAAGATGAAGAAGAAGAAGAAGAAGAAGCTTACAGTGAGAAGAGTTTTCCACAAACAGCACATGAGAATTCAGGACCACTGTTTTTAGTTAAAGATTCCCAGTGTCGGTTTCTGGGGGCCCCATGGGGTGGAGGGGAGGACAGATGCATCCTAAAAGACGACTAATTAGCATTAAACGCATAAGGCAGCTGTCAGAAGTGCCAATACAAACAGCCGGGCACTACTTCTTCTTCTTCTGCACGTTCACCTGCTGTAAACTCTGGCGGAAAGTTCTGGTTGTTCATCCACTTTTAGACTGCAGTCCTGTTGCAGAACCTGAGTGTTGCGTGTGCATCCGTTTTTACAGATCTGCCTCATTTGTATGCAGACAGCTGGTTCCTTGCCTCTGAGGCAGATGCACTCCGACTTCGAAGGAAGCTCCCAATTAGTCTATGCTTACGACACGCTTTTGGGTAGGCAGTGAGTCTATTCTTGTTTTCCCTATTACAGGGCCCCGGAACCCACATGAGGGGTTGTTTTATTTAAAGTCGCAGTGCAACTGCTTAGGGTCGAGGAACCAAGAGTCTGCACATAAAGAAGCCAGATCTGTAAAACCGATTACAAGCAGAACTCAAGCTCTGGAACAAGACCAAAGTTTAGAAATGAACAAACAACAGGAACTTTCCACCAGAAATGAACAAACAACAGGAACTTTCCACCAGAGATGAACAGAGAGAGAGTGAAAGATAAGAAAATAATCAATTAAGTGTTAAATTAGGGCAAGACTTAACATTTTAATGTAAAACCAGGACATGATCATCATACAAGTTAGTCCTTTTTAAAAGACAGTTGACATATTCGGTAAACAATTCACAAACCAAGCTCAGATTTTACTGGCTGTTTTGTGGTTTTATTTAGCAGTTTTGGCATTCAGTAAATTAAGATAGCCATGTCTTTCTGGTGTTTGTGATCAGTTGTCTTCGAGCCACCACCTCTTTCAACACATCTGGACATATTCATGTAGAGAAAAAATATGGGTGCCTGCCAGTCCGAAGGCCAAGCATTCGAATCCACATTGACCGGAAAGGCTAACGGGGGCAACAAATCTTACATCTTCGGATAAACGCAGCAGAATAACAAAAAATCGAATTCAAGATGTCACCTTGACTGCCAGGTCAACCCAACCAAAATGGGTACCCAGAATGTCCAGGGAAGGAAGGGCAGATGGCATGGATGTTGACCACATTACTTACTGAGTGCAAGGTTGACCACATTACTCACTGAGTGCAGGGTTGACCACATTACTCACTGAGTGCAGGGTTGACCACATTACTCACTGAGTGCAGGGTTGACCACATTACTCACTGAGTCCAGGGTTGACCACATTACTCACTGAGTGCAGGGTTGACCACATTACTCACTGAGTGCAGGGTTGACCACATTACTCACTGAGTGCAGGGTTGACCACATTACTCACTGAGTGCAGGGTTGACCACATTACTCACTGAGTGCAGGGTTGACCACATTACTCACTGAGTGCAGGGTTGACCACATTACTTACTGAGTGCAGGGTTGACCACATTACTCACTGAGTGCAGGGTTGACCACATTACTCACTGAGTGCAGGGTTGACCACATTACTCACTGAGTGCAGGGTTGACCACATTACTCACTGAGTGCAGGGTTGACCACATTACTTACTGAGTGCAGGGTTGACCACATTACTCACTGAGTGCAGGGTTGACCACATTACTCACTGAGTGCAGGGTTGACCACATTACTCACTGAGTGAAGTGTTGACCACATTACTTCTGAGTGCAAGGTTGACCACATTACTCACTGAGTGCAGGGTTGACCACATTACTCACTTAGTGCAGGGTTGACCACATTACTCACTGAGTGCAGGGTTGACCACATTACTCACTGAGTGCAGGGTTGACCACATTACTCACTGAGTGCAAGGTTGACAACATTACTCACTGAGTGCGGGAGTGGTCTCTACAAACATAGTAAAGGGCCCTTTTCCACACCTTCAGGCATACTGGGGGCATATAGGGATAGGCCAGGATTGTATAGACCAATAGGTCTGTGGTGGGTGATGTGATCAGCATCATGCTGGCCGCCTTGACTTCCAAGGACCTGTATCTGGTATGCACTCAAGGCTGGGTCAACCTGGGAGCCAAGGTCATTTGAAAAAAAAAAAGTCTTGTTCCATCAGGGCCCAAACTGAAGACCTTCCGATCCATTGGTGTGCGTCTAGCCACTACACCATGGTGACTTCCCATACAAATAAAGGTGCGTGTCTAGCCACTACACCATGGTGACTTTCCCATACAAATAAAGGTGCGCGTACGTAACCTTTATTTGTATGGGAAGTCACCATGGTGTAGTGGCTAGACGTGACCTTTATTTGTATGGGAAGTCACCATGGTGTAGTGGCTAGACGCGACCTTTATTTGTATGGGAAGTCACCATGGTGTAGTGGCTAGACGCTCACCTTTATTTGTATGGGAAGTCACCATGGTGTAGTGGCTAGACGCGACCTTTATTTGTATGGGAAGTCACCATGGTGTAGTGGCTAGACGTGACCTTTATTTGTATGGAAAGTCACCATGGTGTAGTGGCTAGACGCGCACCTTTATTTGTATGGGAAGTCACCATGGTGTAGTGGCTAGACGCGACCTTTATTTGTATGGGAAGTCACCCGGGTGTAGTGGCTAGACGCGCACCTTTATTTGTATGGGAAGTCACCATGGTGTAGTGGCTAGACGTGACCTTTTTTTTGTATGGGAAGTCACCATGGTGTAGTGGCTAGACGTGACCTTTATTTGTATGGGAAGTCACCATGGTGTAGTGGCTAGACGCGCACCTTTATTTGTATGGGAAGTCACCATGGTGTAGTGGCTAGACGTAACCTTTATTTGTATGGGAAGTCACCATGGTGTAGTGGCTAGACGTGACCTTTATTTGTATGGGAAAATCACCATGGTGTAGTGGCTAGACGCGCACCTTTATTTGTATGGGAAGTCACCATGGTGTAGTGGCTAGACGCGCACCTTTATTTGTATGGGAAAGTCACCATGGTGTAGTGGCTAGACGCGACCTTTATTTGTATGGGAAGTCACCGTGGTGTAGTGGCTAGACGCACACCTTTATTTGTATGGGAAAGTCACCATGGTGTAGTGGCTAGACGTAACCTTTATTTGTATGGGAAGTCACCGTGGTGTAGTAGCTAGACGCACACCTTTATTTGTATGGGAAGTCACCATGGTGTAGTGGCTAGACGCGCACCTTTATTTGTATGGGAAAGTCACCATGGTGTAGTGGCTAGACGTAACCTTTATTTGTATGGGAAGTCACCGTGGTGTAGTGGCTAGACGCACACCTTTATTTGTATGGGAAGTCACCATGGTGTAGTGGCTAGACGTAACCTTTGTTTGTATGGGGAGTCACCATGGTGTAGTGGCTAGACGCGCACCTTTATTTGTATGGGAAAATCACCATGGTGTAGTGGCTAGACGTGACCTTCATTTGTATGGGAAGTCACCATGGTGTAGTGGCTAGACACGCACCTTTATTTGTATGGGAAGTCACCATGGTGTAGTGGCTAGACGTGACCTTCATTTGTATGGGAAGTCACCATGGTGTAGTGGCTAGACGTGACCTTCATTTGTATGAGAAGTCACCATGGTGTAGTGGCTAGACGTGACCTTCATTTGTATGGGAAGTCACCATGGTGTAGTGGCTAGACGCGCACCTTTATTTGTATGGGAAGTCACCATGGTGTAGTGGCTAGACGCGACCTTTATTTGTATGGGAAGTCACATGGTGTAGTGGCTAGACACGCACCTTTATTTGTATAGGAAGTAACCATGGTGTAGTGGCTAGACGTGACCTTTTTTTGTATGGGAAGTCACCATGGTGTAGTGGCTAGACGTGACCTTTATTTGTATGGGAAGTCACCATGGTGTAGTGGCTAGACGCGCACCTTTATTTGTATGGGAAGTCACCATGGTGTAGTGGCTAGACGTAACCTTTATTTGTATGGGAAGTCACCATGGTGTAGTGGCTAGACGTGACCTTTATTTGTATGGGAAAATCACCATGGTGTAGTGGCTAGACGCGCACCTTTATTTGTATGGGAAGTCACCATGGTGTAGTGGCTAGACGCGCACCTTTATTTGTATGGGAAAGTCACCATGGTGTAGTGGCTAGACGCGACCTTTATTTGTATGGGAAGTCACCGTGGTGTAGTGGCTAGACGCACACCTTTATTTGTATGGGAAAGTCACCATGGTGTAGTGGCTAGACATAACCTTTATTTGTATGGGAAGTCACCGTGGTGTAGTGGCTAGACGCACACCTTTATTTGTATGGGAAGTCACCATGGTGTAGTGGCTAGACGCGCACCTTTATTTGTATGGGAAAGTCACCATGGTGTAGTGGCTAGACGTAACCTTTATTTGTATGGGAAGTCACCGTGGTGTAGTGGCTAGACGCACACCTTTATTTGTATGGGAAGTCACCATGGTGTAGTGGCTAGACGTAACCTTTATTTGTATGGGAAGTCACCATGGTGTAGTGGCTAGACGCGCACCTTTATTTGTATGGGAAAATCACCATGGTGTAGTGGCTAGACGTGACCTTTATTTGTATGGGAAGTCACCATGGTGTAGTGGCTAGACACGCACCTTAATTTGTATGGGAAGTCACCATGGTGTAGTGGCTAGACGTGACCTTCATTTGTATGGGAAGTCACCATGGTGTAGTGGCTAGACGTGACCTTCATTTGTATGGGAAGTCACCATGGTGTAGTGGCTAGACGTGACCTTCATTTGTATGGGAAGTCACCATGGTGTAGTGGCTAGACGCGCACCTTTATTTGTATGGGAAGTCACCATGGTGTAGTGGCTAGACGCGACCTTTATTTGTATGGGAAGTCACATGGTGTAGTGGCTAGACACGCACCTTTATTTGTATAGGAAGTAACCATGGTGTAGTGGCTAGACATAACCTTTATTTGTATGGGAAGTCACCATGGTGTAGTGGCTAGACGCGCACCTTTATTTGTATGGGAAGTCACCATGGTGTAGTGGCTAGACATAACCTTTATTTGTATAGGAAGTCACCATGGTGTAGTGGCTAGACGTGACCTTTATTTGTATGGGAAGTCACCATGGTGTAGTGGCTAGACGTGACCTTTATTTGTATGGGAAGTCACCATGGTGTAGTGGCTAGACACGCACCTTTATTTGTATAGGAAGTCACCATGGTGTAGTGGCTAGACATAACCTTTATTTGTATGGGAAGTCACCATGGTGTAGTGGCTAGACGCGACCTTTATTTGTATGGGAAGTCACCATGGTGTAGTGGCTAGACGCGACCTTTATTTGTATAGGAAGTCACCATGGTGTAGTGGCTAGACACGCACCTTTATTTGTATGGGAAGTCACATGGTGTAGTGGCTAGACATAACCTTTATTTGTATGGGAAGTCACCATGGTGTAGTGGCTAGACATAACCTTTATTTGTATGGGAAGTCACCATGGTGTAGTGGCTAGACATAACCTTTATTTGTATGGGAAGTCACCATGGTGTAGTGGCTAGACATAACCTTTATTTGTATGGGAAGTCACCATGGTGTAGTGGCTAGACGCGACCTTTATTTGTATGGGAAGTCACATGGTGTAGTGGCTAGACACGCACCTTTATTTGTATGGGAAGTCACATGGTGTAGTGGCTAGACGCGCACCTTTATTTGTATGGGAAAGTCACCATGGTGTAGTGGCTAGACGTAACCTTTATTTGTATGGGAAGTCACCGTGGTGTAGTGGCTAGACGCACACCTTTATTTGTATGGGAAGTCACCATGGTGTAGTGGCTAGACGTGACCTTTATTTGTATGGGAAGTCACCATGGTGTAGTGGCTAGACGTGACCTTTATTTGTATGGGAAGTCACCATGGTGTAGTGGCTAGACGCACACCTTTATTTGTATGGGAAAGTCACCATGGTGTAGTGGCTAGACGCACACCTTTATTTGTATGGGATAGTCACCATGGTGTAGTGGCTAGATACGCACCTTTATTTGTATGGGATAGTCACCATGGTGTAGTGGCTAGATGCGCACCTTTATTTCTATGGGAAGTCACCATGGTGTAGTGGCTAGACGCGCACCTCTATTTGTATGGGAAGTCACATGGTGTAGTGGCTAGACATGCACCTTTATTTGTATGGGAAGTCACCGTGGTGTAGTGGCTAGACGCGCACCTTTATTTGTATGGGAAGTCACCATGGTGTAGTGGCTAGACGTAACCTTTATTTGTATGGGAAGTCACCATGGTATAGTGGCTAGACGTAACCTTTATTTCTATGGGAAGTCACCATGGTGTAGTGGCTGGACGTAACCTTTATTTGTATGGGAAGTCACCATGGTGTAGTGGCTAGACGTAACCTTTATTTGTATGGGAAGTCACCATGGTGTAGTGGCTAGACGTAACCTTTATTTGTATGGGAAGTCACCATGGTGTAGTGGCTGGACGTAACCTTTATTTGTATGGGAAGTCACCATGGTGTAGTGGCTAGACGTAACCTTTATTTGTATGGGAAGTCACCATGGTATAGTGGCTAGACACGCACCTTTATTTGTATGGGAAGTCACATGGTGTAGTGGCTAGACATGCACCTTTATTTGTATGGGAAGTCACCATGGTGTAGTGGCTAGACGCGCACCTTTATTTGTATGGGAAAGTCACCATGGTGTAGTGGCTAGACGCGCACCTTTATTTGTATAGGAAAGTCACCATGGTGTAGTGGCTAGACGTGACCTTTATTTGTATTGGAAGTCACCATGGTGTAGTGGCTAGACGTGACATTTATTTGTATTGGAAGTCACCATGGTGTAGTGGCTAGACGTGACCTTTATTTGTATGGGAAGTCACCATGGTGTAGTGGCTAGACGTGACCTTTATTTGTATTGGAAGTCACCATGGTGTAGTGGCTAGACGCGCACCTTTATTTGTATGGGAAGTCACCATGGTGTAGTGACTAGACGTAACCTTTATTTGTATGGGAAGTCACCATGGTGTAGTGGCTAGACGCGCACCTTTATTTGTATGGGAAGTCACCATGGTGTAGTGGCTAGACGCGCACCTTTATTTGTATAGGAAGTCACCGTGGTGTAGTGGCTAGACATAACCTTTATTTGTATGGGAAGTCACCATGGTGTAGTGGCTAGACGTGACCTTTATTTGTATGGGAAAGTCACCATGGTGTAGTGGCTAGACGCGCACCTTTATTTTTATGGGAAAATCACCATGGTGTAGTGGCTAGACGTGACCTTTATTTGTATGGGAAAGTCACCATGGTGTAGTGGCTAGACGTGACCTTTATTTGTATGGGAAAGTCACCATGGTGTAGTGGCTAGACGCGCACCTTTATTTGTATGGGAAAGTCACCATGGTGTAGTGGCTAGACGTGACCTTTATTTGTATGGGAAAGTCACCATGGTGTAGTGGCTAGACGTGACCTTTATTTGTATGGGAAAGTCACCATGGTGTAGTGGCTAGACGCGCACCTTTATTTGTATGGGAAAATCACCATGGTGTAGTGGCTAGACGCGCACCTTTATTTGTATGGGAAAATCACCATGGTGTAGTGGCTAGACGTGACCTTTATTTGTATGGGAAGTCACATGGTGTAGTGGCTAGACGCGACCTTTTATTTGTATGGGAAAGTCACCATGGTGTAGTGGCTAGACGCGACCTTTATTTGTATGGGAAAGTCACCATGGTGTAGTGGCTAGACGCGACCTTTATTTGTATGGGAAAATCACCATGGTGTAGTGGCTAGACGCGACCTTTATTTGTATGGGAAAGTCACCATGGTGTAGTGGCTAGACGCGCACCTTTATTTGTATGGGAAAGTCACCATGGTGTAGTGGCTAGACGCGACCTTTATTTGTATGGGAAAATCACCATGGTGTAGTGGCTAGACGCGCATTTTTTTTTGTATGGGAAGTCACATGGTGTAGTGGCTAGACGCGCACCTTTATTTGTATGGGAAAGTCACCATGGTGTAGTGGCTAGACGTGACCTTTATTTGTATGGGAAAGTCACCATGGTGTAGTGGCTAGACGTAACCTTTATTTGTATGGGAAAGTCACCATGGTGTAGTGGCTAGACGCGCACCTTTATTTGTATGGGAAAATCACCATGGTGTAGTGGCTAGACGCGCACCTTTATTTGTATGGGAAAGTCACCATGGTGTAATGGCTAGATGCGCACATTTATTTGTATGGGAAAGTCACCATGGTGTAGTGGCTAGACGTGACCTTTATTTGTATGGGAAGTCACCATGGTGTAGTGGCTAGACGCGCACCTTTATTTGTATGGGAAAGTCACCATGGTGTAGTGGCTAGACGCGACCTTTATTTGTATGGGAAGTCACCATGGTGTAGTGGCTAGATGCGCACCTTTATTTGTATGGGAAGTCACCATGGTGTAGTGGCTAGACGCGACCTTTATTTGTATGGGAAGTCACCATGGTGTAGTGGCTAGACGTGACCTTTATTTGTATGGGAAGTCACCATGGTGTAGTCTAGCCACTACACCACGGTGACTTCCCATACAAATAAAGGTCACACTATACACCCAAATGTGACAAAGGCATGAAAAGGGTTCTTTACTGTGTATTTTCCTTACAGAAAACAAAACATAAAACAACGATAACAGGTCATGGTAAAAAAAGAAGACAGTTCATGTACTTATGTGAAGAGATAACACCTGCAACAGGTCACAAGTGGCACACTGTACTTACTCTCTACAGTGATCACAGGTAGATGGAGCCTTTACCACTACCAACTTGTCTTGACTAGCATTGTACTCAGCTACCAGGTCTGCAAACAAGAAGCCCAAGAGATTAATATCAGTATATATATTTACCCTTGACTCCCAGGTCAACCCAGCCTTGAGTGGTTACTGGGTGCAGTCCTGGGAAGTAAATGTGGCCGACATGATGCTGACCATGTCACCCATCTTGTGCTGATTGGTCCCTACAAATACTAGTCTAGCCCTATAAGCCTAAAGGTGTGGATAAGGGACCTTAACTTTTTTTTTAAATACATATTTACTCGTGGGAGATGTGGGTTTTTTTTTTGTGTGAGAAGAATGTAAAGAATATCATGGCATGACAGAAAAAGAAATAACGTATTAGTCAAAACAGATGAAAACTGTATATTCATTAGAAAAAAATAGATAGTAGCAGCCAGTGTTTATCAGAAATTTTATGAAAAGAAATTTACTTTAGAACTTGTAAACTGATGGGGGAAAGAGTCAAGGAAAGGTAGGGAGGCACAAGAACACTGATTTGATCTGTGATTCTGGTGACTGTGTGAAATGGCAAAACATGACAGCCTAGGCTTACTGGCATGGTGCATAATGACAATATTTCTACATGTTAGTAAGTAAGACTTGTAAGTCTGAATAGTGTCTGTTTTGCATCATTGAAGCTGTTTCTAGATCATCCAGCAGCGTATCTTAAAAGAATGGTACATTCTGAGTTGAACATAGAGGCTGAGAAATATCTTCCTAATGTGGCTACTGAACATGCTTCTGGGTGTGTTGTTTCTACAAAGTTCTTTTTATGTTTGGCATCATAGTGTGGAAGAGCATCTGTAGCCGAAATGACTGGCAGTACATGAGACAGAAGGCTGCGAACAAAATAGGTCCACACTGCATGGTCTATAAGATGAATTTTATCTGCGCAGAGTAAAAAGGCGCCAATTTGTTTATGGAGATGGACACACATGTGGCACATATGTAGCTCAAATAGCTATAAGAATTGTACAGACTCTATGAAGTATTGCAGAGTAACTCAATGAAACATTTATCTCATTATAAATACTTCTTCTTCTTCTTCTTTGTTCACCGGCTGTAAGCTCTGGAGGAAAGTCCTGGTTGTTCGTCAACGTGGACATTGGCTTTGTGCCAGGACCTGAGTTTTGTGCTGGCATCCATTTTATTGGCCTATCTGTGTGCTGCTGGTTGTTCCTTGCTGATCGGGCAGATGCAGTCTGACTTCAAAGAAAGCCCCCAATCAGCTGACTCCCAAGATATGCTTGTTGGGGAGGCAGTGGGTCAATTCTTATTTTGTCCCCTACAATGGGAGCCCAGAACCCACATGGGAAATGCACCCAGTAAAATGGTGCCATATTGTAGATGGAAATGTACTTATATGTTGCACATTTAGTTCAGTTGACTATAATAATTGTAAAGACTCTATGAAGTACTGCAGAGTAACTCAGGTCTTTGTCTTAGTCGAGGTTTCAATTTCACTGCAATAATGTCACCCCATACATGCACTGTTCCTGCGCCTGTGAAAATCACATGAAACATCCCTCACTGTCCCATTTGAAAAACTGGTGAACAAACAATCCAGAAATATGCCCACGCAGTAAATGCATATGGCAGTTTCTAGAGGTGCCAAAGCCAACAGTCACCACCAGAAAAGCAGTTTGGTCACAATAAGCTGGATAGACACACATAAAATCATTAAGGTATTTCACCAGCCCACATGTAAAACGTCTACCCGCCATACTGAATACCACAACATAACCGTTGCACAAATAAAAGGCATTCTACATGAAAAACACAGCTCACAGGGCTGCACCAGGCAGTCATTCAATGTAACATTTATATCATTATAAATACTAAATATAGTATTAAATATATACTGATTTATAACAACTACAATATTTCCTAACTGCTACCACATAATCTGGCACACTAAACTAACATAACTACAAACATTAGCGCTAGCATTATAATCTAACAAACGCCATAAGCTAACATAACTACAAACATTAGCGCTAGCATTATAATCTAACAAACACCATAAGCTAACATAACTACAAACATTAGCGCTAGCATTATAATCTAACAAACACCATAAGCTAACATAACTACAAACATTAGCGCTAGCATTATAATCTAACAAACACCATAAGCTAACATGAAGGTTAAGAACCATTAGTAAGTTAGTTAATACTTGGACAGGAAATTAGATGAACCGTGTGTGAAAGACAACAGTACATTTTTAGAAATTCTTTTTTTAAAAAAAAAAGGTGCACATCCATCATAGTGCATCGCAAACCAATACCAGTATTTGTTGGCTGTTTGTGGTTTTAGTGAGAAATTTTTACGTTCAGTCATTTGCCACAGTTTTCCTGAATGGTTAATGCTCACACCATTGCCTAAAGCAGAGAACAAAGTGGTCTGCTGTCAAACTGTTTGCAGCTGAATAGAACCAGAAATGGTAGACTTGGCATTAAGTGGCAGGACAAAATCTCAAACACTGAGGTAATGGAAAGAGCAGGTACTACAACAGTCTTTTCCATGCTGAGTCTACGAAGGCTCAGGTGGCTGGGTCACACCTGGAGAATAGAGGATGGCAGAGTCCCTAAGAACATCCTTTATGGTGAAGTAAAGATAGGAAGAAGATGCCGAGGCCGACCTCTACTTTATAAAGATGTGTGCAAATGGGACATGAATGATACAGGTACTGAGGCGGGACTCCTGGGAACAAAATGCCATAGACTGTGTTGTGTGGAAAGGGCATATCAGGAAGGGAATGAGACTGAAGGAAGAAATGATTGCAGAAAGGATGAGAGCTGAGCGTCTGAAAAGAAACGGATTAAACGCAAATGTTGTTAACAATGCTCCTTAAATCCCATGCTATCGGTGTGGAAGACTTTTCTTGACACGGGCGGGTCTTGCTAGTCATACTCGCCATCGCCATGGGCTGTGAGTCTCATGCCTCCTCATAGCGCAATATAACACTATCGTCTGGAAAGACAGAAAGGTGCCAATGAATGAGAATTATGTGTTCACAACTCCGAGCCACAGATGCGGGGGGAGGGGGAGGGGCACTATTTGCATATCCTTTAGATAATGATGATGAGCCACCCCAGCATTTGTTCTGGCTATTTTGGGGTTTTACTAAGCAGTTGAACGTTCAGAAGTTTGCCACTGCTTCCTGAACAGTCACTGCTCCATAACACTGTCAGAATCTACGCAAAGCTGGTTACTGCCAAATCCCTGCAGCTGAAACAAACCAGGTATTTCAGGATTAAGAAGCTCATTCACAATGCCTAAGCACAAAAGCTGACTCCTCTGGCTGAAAGAAAAAGGATAGGAAAAAGTTTCACAGCCTTGCTGACGGCTGTTTGTGGGTTTACTAAGCAATTTTACATTCAGTCTTCATCATAGAGACCAGTGGTTTTATCTGAAAACCACTGGCAGGTAGAGCACGTGATTCAGCAGCTAATTAGAAATATCTGCATCATAAGTAACAAAAAAGATTCTCAGCTAATGTAATATGCTGCTGACTATGTGATCTCCTCTAATGAATATAAAGGTAATTTGAGATATAAAGCGACTGCATTTAACTGATATTCATATAAAGTAGTTGGCATCTGTGGCTTAGGCATTGCGTACGAGCTTCGCAATGTCGGGGTGCCGGGTTCGATCCCAGCTGCTGGTCTAGCGCCTTGCGTTGGTTTCAACAGTGGTATCTAGAAGCCGATCATCCAGAAAACAATGGCAAACTACTGGACATAAATTTGCCTAGAAAAACCACAATAGCCAAAAAATGCTGGGGTTGGTTCTGCAATGCCCAGTAAAGGATACGCAACTAACTTTTTTAACATATAAAGTAATCCCAGTTACATTGTTATCTGGTTTTACCTAAAGCGCCAGCTGACATAAAAGATGTAATGTTCAAATGTACAATGAGTTAGCATAAAAGATTGAATACAGAACAACTAAGCATATGATGTTTAATACAAAACAAATTAGGATCAAAGGTTTCAACAGGAACAATGGTAGAATCAAGAGATGTGCAATGATTTACCTCTGCTGTCATCAAGTGTGAGTCCCATAAGGGATGAAAAGAATTCAAAATCACTCGCTGGGAACAAGAGTTTGTTTACAAATGAAATCTGGCGTGGAAGACAGCTGGCCACCTCATATTATAGTCACATGACTCACAATATATCTTCTCACAGATCTTCTTATAGTCCATGCTGTGTGGTGTTGGTAGTCATGTCTATCCACAACTTTCTGCTTCAGGAACTTTCAGTCATTTCTGACACAGATGATCTAAGCCATGATATCATAAAGTCCAGCATCTTCTCTCTCAGTCTCCCTTTGCCTCTTTTCACCTCAAACTTCCCCATCATCCAGTTTCCTCCCTCTTATGATAGGACCAAAGAATTGGATTGTCTCCTTCTGATGTGGGCAATCAGTTCTCTCCATGAATCAGTTTCTTTCAAGACACCCTCATTAATCTTTTTAGCTGTATAGGGTATAAACATTCATCTATAAAACCACTTCACCGCTTCTATATAATTTTTCACTAATCTGCTACTTTCCATGATTCACTTCCATATACAGGAATAGGATTTATATAACACTTGAGAACTGAACTGAATATTCTTCATTTTATGAAATTCTGCCTTGTATAAGATACATTTGAAATTATAACAGCTGTGCAACAGGATGCCTATTGTTGCCTCTAATATTTTTAGTGGAACAGACTAGATTCTGAAGACAGCAACAGCTAACACCAGGAATGGAATTCAGTGGACCCCTAAAAACAGCCTGATGACCTAGACTTTCCTGATGATATTTCTCTTCTATCCCCACTCAAGGAATCAGATACAAGATAAAGTAAACAAGCTTGATGATGGATCACAACAATCAGGTACAAAAATGCATCAGGAAAACACAAAGATAATGAGAACGAATCATAGTGATATTCCACTCCATGACATGGAGTCATACACATATTTGGGTAGTGACATAGATAAATATGGCAGAAGTGACGATAAGGCATTTA